GAAGTCTGTAAAGAATTCCTTAGATTCCGTCAAACAATGACCAACACAAAGGCGGGGGGGTTGTCTCCGTCCCATATCTTGCTTCAACTGGAAAATCACGCCGCTGTCAGCTGCAATCTTCAACATTGATTTGTCAGGCTGCGTGCTCTCACCTTACCTTTCAAACATCCCGCACAGGCTCAGATCATGGTGTTTAGACGAACAATGACCTCAATGACGCCATTAGCTCCCTCTACGTTACTTGCATGTTTCGTGCCCAATACTGAAGCTGCACGGAACACTCTGGGCCGTTAGTCCTGGTCGCAACTTAAAAATGCACAAGACTTTGTGCACTTCTAAGTGGTTAAAATGTTGTACACTCATTTTTCATGCTGGGTTCAGAACTTCCTCAGTACTGTGAAAGTTAATTGAATTTTCAACGTTCCACTTCGTTAATATTTAACACTTGATCAGTCGTAATGGGAATGCATGATTGGACACGTTCTGAATAGGAAGTCTCTTGTATTTCCTGAATTTCGATTGGATAATGACCGTCAACGGTCTAACGCATATACTAACGGTATAAAACGAAAGACACTACTCAACCTTTGGACACTAAAGGAGAGAGATTTGATCGATACGGGAAGCAGATTCTGTTGTCTCTAGATGAATTTTTACCCCTTTGAATTAGATTGTTTTACGTAGATTACCTTCGACATTTACATGGTTTTGGCTCTGACAGAATTATTAAAATTCTTTGAACAGATGTTTTACGGCGGTTTAATACCCTGTACATGTATACGTTTTACAAATTCAGTCAGCGCGGAACGTTACTGTCGTTCTTTTTTGTGGAACCTAAATGTAAAATACAGCATTATATAAAATCAAAGATTATTGGGGGCAGCATGACGTCAGTTTGGGATTTTTAACATCTACCAAAGGGGTAAATTTACTTGTGCTGTGGAATATTGTGTAAAAGTTCTGGCCAATATCCGACCTTAGAATTATTATTCGATAGTCATACCGACAAGTATAACACAAAACAAATTCAGTGGACTTCACATATTGGTTTCTGGTAGGTTTGTACTGGTACCGTTTTACCCCCGTTGTTCATTATTGATTTTTTACAATAATTATTTTAGTAATTTTAAGAATTACTACAAGGGTGATTACCGGAAGTTTGTTAACTTTGAAATCAGAGGCATTACATGGACTCATTCTGTTTGGAACCATTTTTCTCTACAAACTGTTATCTTTATGGCATGTTTCTCTTTGTCAGAAACAGTCCGGCAAATTTTTCAGCATGTTTAGGCAAAACTCTATTCAAGGCTTTGTTGACGTTCATGCCTTGATCAAGTTTTCCATCGAGATCATCCACAATGTCCTTTTAAGTTGCATTTTCCCTCAAATACAGGTAACTTGACAGGAACTCCTTATAACTGTCGAAGAAGTCTTGTTTTTACTGCCATGAGGGTCTTTCTGTTTGCCTTCTGCCTGGCTTGATCTTCATCCATGCCTTCGTTGACGTACTTGTCATATTTTTCATCCCTCACCCCCTATGTGTCTCTAGCTTCAGCAAGACAATCTTGGCAGGCGGCATTGTCTTCCAAATCTGAACTGTCTTCATCCGAGGTTTCGTCATTGACCTCCTCAACAGAATCCGAGGTTTCGTCAGCTTCATTCATGTCTGATTCCTCCTCAACATGGATATTTTCCATGTGCCTCTCTAGATTAAACTTCTGTCCGAAGCATTTGTCACACTGGTGACACGCATAGGGTTTGGCTGTATAAATACCATTCAAGTTGACCCTGCGAAGGATGACCTTTAAATGACACGAAACAACTGAAATCGTTCCATATATCTTAAATATACACGTATTTACTGTTTCTGGTTTGCATATTTCATTGTTAAATTTTTCATTGTTTTATTGTTCAAATTGGTCTTTTTATTGCTGAAGCTGCTCTTTGTATTACTCTTTTTATTACTCTTCTACTGTTTTCATTGTTCACATTGTTCTTTTTATCGTTCAAATGAATTTTTTTAATTGATCTTTTCATTGTTAAAATATACTCTTTTCCTTGGTCAAACGGATCTTTATTTTTATTGTTCAAAATGAACTTTTTATTTTTCAATGGTCTTTTTAAGGTGTAAAGTGCTGTTTCATTGTTCAAATTGCTCTGTTTATTGCTCAAATAGTTCTTTTTATTGCTCTTTTCTTTACATAAATTGCTCTTTTTATTGCTCAAATTGGCCTTTTTATTGCGGGGGAAGTAAACGCCAAACCTACACCGTCCAACGAGATTACCAATGAGATTTTTAAACTTAATCCGTCTTCTAAGCAAATGTTGGTGAGCTTTGTCAAAAGCCCATCGAGTTTCAATTTTTTCATTGGTAATCTCATCTGCTCAACGTCTTCTAATTCCTTGCTTTACTGGTTACCTGACAATCGGCTTGCTCGACACCAAAGGGTTAAAAATTATAGTGACTCTTGTCAAATCTAGAGCTCACATTACTCCCACTTTGCAGCTGTTACACTAGCTCTATGTTTACGACCATATCAAGTTGTTGTAACTGGTCTTTTACTGTTGGCATGATTCTACCCCCAATACCATGTCAACTTGTTAACAATGTACAGTCCACCTAGGTGTTTAAAGATCTTCCGATTCCTTTTTCCTTTCTGTTCCTCATACTCCTAATTCATGGAGTGGTCGACCTTTTTGCAGGTCCCCATTTCTGGAATGAACTACCTTAATATTTGTTCTATCCCTTTAATTTCAGAGTTCGAAGTTGCGTTGGAATCCCACTTCTTTGTTAACAGTTATAGATTATTTAGTTATTTTTTTGTTTTTTTCTTTTAGACCGTGCTCACTTTTATCTGTTTTGGTTGACAACAGGCATTATTTCACTAACTTTGCATAACATTTCTGTTTCCAGATGGCTTTCAGATGTGTAGTTGCTTTGCCTATCTTCCTTGTGCTGATGAAAATAGTGATTTCTTGCGAGCACTGCACAGAAATTACACGTGAGTAGTAATCCAAATTCATGGCTAAAATATATTACTTCACCATTCGCAGTATGTAGTGCCTCAAGGTCTGATTCCGACCAAAGTATATTGGTAGTTTGTTTTGTTTGATAAGCTCCCAGGCAGCACTAACAAAAGAAGTGGCTAGAAAATAAATGTTAAGCATTGCTGGTGCTTTTGTTATTGTCGTTTAGTTGCCATGAATGCATAAACATTTCCTCGATCCTGTTTTAGTGATGCGTTCTTTGATATGTACGTGTTTTCAATGCGCAATACTTTATACCAATATTTAAAGCTGATGATAGCATATATGAACAACGATATTATCAGGAGTTTTTGTCTCTATGCAGCTGATTGACCTATGATTAAGGATCAGTGTATTGCTCTAAAAAGCCGTAACTAAGAAAAGCAAAGAGGGAGGAGAGGACACAGTCCAAAATTTCAATCAATCACCTCCTTCACATTATTCCTTTACCATACCTAAAATTAGACCTATCCTGATTTTCCCCTGCTTTTGTGCCCTTGGAATTCATTTGCTAGTATTATGGCATGCTCTGAATCAAGCACTTAATCGTTATGTGAGAGCTACCAGTTTACCTTGCTTGCGTAGAATAAGTTCTGCATTAATATTGAACGAGAGGCTCTACTTACAATATAAAGCAAGGTATGAGACAGAGAGACCCCCACCCCACACACACACTTTGTGTTGGTCATTGTTTCTCTGGAGTCCGAGGAATTCTTTTCAGGGGGATGTGTTAGGTAACAATGGTCTAGAGTGTATATAGCGATTGGAAATGTTGGAGGGGTAGTACCACTCACTCGCATTTCATGCTGGATATACAACTTATGCTTAACATGCAGCGCTGTGAAATTAGGTGGAGTAGAGGTACTTATCGCTGGTAAGATTTTAACATGTTTTTAAAAGACTGTTACAGTAGTTAATTTAAGAATTTCGCCCTGTATTGTATCACTGTATACTCTGTGTTTGGCCCCAAGACTTGTGAAAAAACCACAAGCGCAATCGGGTGGGACTTACCAGTTCAGACGTCTTAACCACTCGACCACCGAGCTTGCCGGTGTCGGCTGGCACAAGTAAGTATGAGGTCGTGGGTTCGAAGACCACCCGAGTACGTTTTCGATGTTTTCACAAGCCTTCGGGGGAAAACACTGAGTATACAGTGTTATACATTATAATTTATGTGAGGTAGGGCAGAAATTCAAAATTAATTAACATCTCCCCGGCGCAGATCCTCATTGAAAACAAAGACTGTAGTTACAACGTTTCATTATTTCCAGGGTGGATCCAAAACATTTATTTTTTATTTTGGCGTACTTTCTCGGTGCCTGAAAATTAAACAATCTCCTGAGGGAGAGGGACATCCTTTAAAATGCTGTTTACGACGTTGTGGACCTTGGAATTAAAAAAGAAATTGACAGAAAAAATCCTACCGTTGTTTAATTAAGCAAACACAAAAAGCATACAAAATACGATGTTTGTGTTCAAAACAGAAGTCATTTTTTTTGAAAAACCATATTATTTTTTGAGCCATTAAAGGTTTGCTTATTCTGAACACAATTCTCAGTTCTCCAAAAGAAATATATTCATTTAATTCCTATGGAAATTTCTCTTCAGCTTTATAAATATTTGTACTATACCTATCCTTCATAGAGCTGTTTGATCAGATTTTAGATTCGAGGAATAGAGTTTTATCTATAATCACCACGCTGAATATCCACATGGCTAAACCAGTAGACAAGGCTGTTTGGATTTGACGCCGTCTAAACGTGAAAGATGCTTAACCAAAAAAGGCCATTTAAAACTATTGCACCTAGTACTTTTCAAAATATTGAAATTAACTCTTAAAAATGCAGGGCCTGGAGCAAGGGGGCAAATGGTTGTTAACGACACTATCAGCAACCTTCAAGCCATTATGAAAGGGGTCATTGGGAAAGACGTCAGTGTATTTCTGTTTCGCATCGCCTGTGTGGAGTCCAAGTTTGGTACGGATAAAAACACGTATCGTTCTGGCTACCATGGAGGTATCTGGCAGGTAGATGAGATAGCGTTCAACGACACTCAAGACACTGGTAGCCATTCTAAGTTGAGTGGCAAGCATAAAATTATACTAAAGATCTGTGGAATTGACTGGACCATGGTTACCTGGAAGCACCTGAGGAAGCCCCTCTATTCAGGCATGGCTGCTTTGCTTTTTATGTCCAACAAACCATTTAACATCCCTGATGATCTTAACGGTCAAGCTGAGTATTGGAAGAAATACTACAATACAGCAAGCGGGAGTGGAACGGTGCAGAAATTCAAGGACGACGTTAGGGGACCAGATTGCATGTAGTATTTGAAGTTAATTGATATCATGTATCATTTTTCATTATTCATTTAGTTCATACTAAATGCTATAAATCCATTACACAGTGTACAGTAAGAAAGGCAAGGGATGTTAGTTAATTTCAGGACAACCATTAAATCACTCTCCTCAGTCATGCAACTATTATTATACCATAACGGAATTGAGAATTAGGCGTGTGGTCATTAGCGCGTAGCTGCGACTCATGTTTACAAAAAACGACATTACTTAGTATTTGCTTTTAATTCTACCTTTTACGTATACAGAATTTCAGGATACAGTGACGTTTATTGTACTCAGATAGGAAAGTTCCTAGTTTTGTTCTTGTCTCTACATATCGTTTACATCATTTTTACACAGAGACACATTTGAATCAAATAATAAATATTTTGGGGTTAACTTTTTGGGAAAATCACGGTATGTTATGTGTGGACGACAAATTGGTGAAATCAATATGACTTATTTAGTGAAATCGCTGAGCAACATCATCTTATGAAAATACATACTCTGACATCTGACATCATTAAAACAATCTCTCAATACAATGCTTTTAAAGAATGGTATGTTTTCCAATACTATATTTCAATTTTGTTTTAAACTGTGGTCTTAAGGTCAAACCATAATCTCAACTATGTGTTGCTGGTCAATGGTCTCACCAAACAAAATTCATTATTCTCGTAATCAGTTCAACCAGTAATGCCTTAGTTGCAGAATTTCCATGTGATCGACCTTTTTTTATTTGAAGATTAAATGGCACATTTAATTTAGTTTATAAGACTTTGTTCCCAAAGACCTATCTGAATATCCCTTACACTGCCGTAACATGCTGGAACAAGCTAAACAAGGCACAAGACGGTTACTTATTATGCAAGGGGCACGCTGTGTTTGGAACACATCCATTGGCTATCAGACACATGCCACGTGCGTCAGTGTACACGATTGGCCAAAAGTTTTATCATAGTAACATGCGTGTAATTTCATCACAAACGCCTTTCCCGTCGTATGTCAGAGAGCTAACCATCATGTTCACAACTGCATTCTTTTGATAGTAATAGGTGTCGTTTTCTCTTCCACCACAATCCCCACATTCACCGGGTATGTGACTATGGTTTGCTTCTTTTATTTTCCTTGGGACTCAGAATTTTCTCTGCAAGCAGTCGTATCAGCCCCCCAAACCACGGGTTACAACTGGTCATATGCTAGCACATTCAAGTTATGGAGGATGTGCAGAGGTTAAAAGAGTTTTGTTCTGGTGCTACCAGATACGCGTTGACTCAAAATTATTGTTTTAACTGAGGTCTACATAAAGAGAGTGAGATAACATTAAATCTGACTCAAGAGTTTTTAATGATTAGCGACGAACAAAAGTGGCATCCAATTTAGTTTAGGATATTTTCAAGATGTATTTTTTTTGCGTTGGGGAGATGAGCAGAGATGACAGTGCTTATTAATATACGTTGGGTAAGGACAAAACCGTTTAGGATATAAACTATATAAGCTAGCATATGACCGTTATATATAGTTTAGGATACTTTTAAAATGTGAAGGCTAAAACAACATAATAGCTGATTACATTACAAGATTCGCAAATAGGAGACAAAATGGATGAATCAATTTGTTTACTGTTACTCAAGGTAAAACTATATGAACACCAACTATATATTTAAGATAAATAACGAATAAAAGGCTCAGGGGCCCCCAAATAATAACAATGTCAAACTGTCCAAGCATTTTCTTTTCTTCTTCCATCGTTACCCACAAAATGTCCTCCTTTTACCAAGTGCCTTCAGGGCTGTTTCCCGGTTCAAGAATATACAAGCCCAGGATTTCCGATCTTGCATCATTGGGTACTTTTATTGGCTCCAAGTTTTATTCGAAATTTCAAGAAGTCTTCACCTCGCACAAAGCATTTTTACAAAGCTTTTATCATTGCGCCGAGACGCAGCCACAGTTATATCTAAGCACACGCAGCCTTACGATACTAAGGCGAGCGGTTAACCATACGGCATACTATTTTCTGTAATGTAACTGGGATAAGCGTTTAAGTACCACCTTAGAAACAATAAGCGTATATCCAACGTCCCCTGTACATTATATGTGGTTCACTGAAGTCTGCATTTGCAAAAACCTGATTTAAAACTAGCGTGTCATAAGAGAGCTCACATTTATTTGCAAGGGGAAACCAATTGTGTTAATTTCATGGTTTCAAATCCGGGAATCTGGAAGCACAAACATCTATCGGTAGAGCGTTCCCCTGACCTATACATGCCGCAGGGGGCTAAAAATGTCCCAGGCCGATGTGGTTCAGAGTCTACAGGTGAATGATGAGGCTGAGACAAGGCAATCTACAGAACAAGTGTGATCATTATTGTAGTTTTGAGTGAAGAATAATACCCTGGGGAGATTTTCTTGCATCTGTTACCTTTTAAAAATTTATTTAGACTATCTTCAGACAGAAAGCTAACTAAAGTCTGATTTTATTTCGTTTCACTGTGTTAACCTTTTCCACAATACAGGATTGGATTCCCAATAAAGCTGTTCAAAACTGAACTCCCCACGCTGTCTGCCATTATATCATTGTCATTGAGAAAATACATACAAAATAAAAAGAAAAACATATTGCAGTATACCAACACCAATTGCAAAAAGAAAAAAAAGTGAGCTGCTGGATAGTTACTTTGACTATTACAGAAAAAATTATGATGAAACATTACAACGAATATCTTACAAGAATCAAGGTACTTTTCTGAAGGTCCAAAGAAATTACGTCAATATTGATACAGCACTTTTGGAACAATCCGTTAATAACTGACCAAATGTTGATCGGTAGTACAATTTTGATGCTGGATGCTTACTTGTTTTCATGGCAGTTAGTTTCATGATAGTGCAGTGTCCAAACCAGTTGAAGGCAGGGTTTCCATTGACCTTGTTTTCATCTCGTTTATGAGCTTCAACTTCTCCTCACGCACGGCCCTGGCCTGCAGGTACTCAGATGCAGCGGTAATGAGCGTGTAAATGTACGGGTTTAAAGATGAATTGATGGGAAGGACGAAGACAACAAACCAGGCATACGCCTCTGGGCCAATGTGCACCGCCCCTGACTGGGACAAAATCCCAATAATGATCACCGGCATCCAACAGGCAAAGTCCGTACCCACTATCAGCGCCATCTTAGCAGCCATCTTGATCTCACGACTACGGTGCGCGGTTTTTCGGACCCTTTTAGCTGTGCGCTTGACCTTGACAAATATGGCAACATAGGAGCAAAGGACAATAAGAAAACACACCATGTTGACACCCAGAAACAGGACAATGGAATAGGTCCAAACTGGCTGACTGCCTTGTCCAATTTGCACGGCAACTGTGTAAGAACCCAGGGGATTTCTTATGTCGGCCTCTTGGACAATGTAACTCTCCGGTTTAGTCAACAGGGGGAGACCGATACAAACGTCCGATAGACCGTAAACATTAGAGTCATCTCTGGTGAGGATGGTAGGCCAAATGCTCAGACTCAAAGCAGCTATCCATATGGTCAGAACCAAGCCTGTGGCCGATTTCTCCCGGAATCTGACCCCACTGAAGGGGAAAACGATTGATAAGAAGCTATCGATGCTAATCAAAGTTACAAAGAACACCGAGGCTTCGCTGGATAGAACTGAGATCACCCCGGCTATCTTGCAGACCGGACTCGACCGCCACTCGCTCGGTACACTGGAGTACTTCTCACCAAAATACACATCAGCCCCCGCAATTATCAACATGTACACCCCCATCATGAAGTCAGAAATTGCTAAGTTGAGCACCAAGAATGAATATCTCTTCTTTCCTCCATTTGTTTTTCCTTGGCAACACCTCCAAACTATGACCACCGCGTTGCCGATGAGAGCGCTTAGGCCCAGAACCCACATAGCAACACGCAAGAGTTTGTTTTGCATTAGATTTCCACAGAGGTTCAGTGGAGGCATGGCCTCAGTAGTCTTGCAGTTCTCTAATTCAAAACCATTAACTGACGCAACAAAATCGCAGCATAACCGGTAGTTGTCAACGTACCTGTATTAGACCAAAGCTCAGAGACAATAAACATTTCCAAAATATTCTTACAGGATACGGTGCTTCTTGTTTCTAAAGGCCATGGGCGTTACCAAGATGTTTTCCATCGGGAAAGCACCAGTCGCTGCCAACGTGACAAACCACTAGCAGTGGAAATGGTCAATTTCAAGGTACAATGATTATTTAGGCATATTGCTGATTTTAATTCTTATTCCCGTTTTAATTTCTTTCCCTTCAGCCTTTTCTACCCAACATCTTTTTTTCTGCTTTTTTAAGCAAGGAGGTGCATCTCTGCAATGTCCTCTGCCTCGCCTAAGAATTTAACCATTACCATTATGTGTCAGGAATCACTGTACATCTATCTTCAAAATCAGACAAGCCAAAAAAACTGTTCAAACTTACAGGTCTTTTAGTTTCTTGAGACCGCTCAATGCATTCTTCCTAATGCCAACAGGTTTCGAGGGGTTCAATGGCACGCCTCTTGTCAAAACTCTGTTTCAAGGTGAATGTCAACATGTTGTTAGATAGTAACTTCAACATCCACACAAAAATTCAATTGAAGATGTGCGATCAGTTTCTCAATTTTCCACTTACAGCGTTCTCAATTCTGCAAGTCCGTTGAATGCCTCACTTTGTATCTCATCAAAAAAGATGTTCCTGGCAATTCTAGTTTGGAGCAAAAAAAAACCCAGTTATCCCTCAGGCGCAAATGTTTCTGGTTTAGTGTGCTGGCTCCCTACAGAATAATGTGCTCTCAAAGCGCAGGTACATTTGTGTTGATACAAAATAGCTGTTCATTGAATCTAGCCTCATATTGTTGGAAACGAATTTTAAAAATAAACCCTACTTACAGGGCGTCCAGATTCTCCAGCTCGCTAAATACGAAAGAGCCAATTGTTGAGATTGAATTTTCAGATATATCTCTGCAGGGAAAAATAATTAAGGGTAAACTGCAGTTGTTAATACCTAAAATATTATTTACATAATTATTTACTTCTTGGTTCGTTTTAGGAGGTGTAAATATATAGTAATAAGTGTTATTCATCCCGAAAAACATCCACACGTTGTTAATGAAAAAGTCTGCGCTGGATAAATTTTAAATAATCCAACCGATTGCGTCAGTCAGAAAGGCTAATAAATAAAGTCTTGTGATGTAAATAGAACGATCTTTGTGCACATTTGTCTTAGTCATAGACGTAACAGTGGAGGCCTTCCCCACGGAAGATATCCATGCCCTTGTGAAATTTTGAAATTAACAAGACTACATAGAAACGGTTATTTGAATCCAGTGTCTCGTTTAAAAGGAAACCTTAGGTGCCTTACCAGTTTGCTTTTTTAAAAAATCTACTCACAACAGCGTCAAATTTTGGAGACCGTCAAAGGTACCGTTTAAGATGACAGTTATATTATTTTGAGGCAACCACCTAAAGGAAAAAATAGACATGAGTTTTTTTTCAAAATTGTAAAAAAGTATGAAATTGCAAAGTATAATGGAGAAGACAGGATAAAATACTGAATACTTTGTAATTTCATATACTTTTGAAGAGAGTTAGGAGGACGTTTTACTTCTTCATTATATACAACGTTAGAGGCGGATCCAGGAGTTTTTTTGCAGGAGGTCAAATGTTTGTTTGAGATAGGTAGGTTACCGTATTTGTCATCGTTTTTTAAAGCAATTTCATCTCCTCATTTTGTCTCTGACCGAGCACTCAAATGAGGTCCATTTAAGGGTTATTGTTTTTAAGGCGGGCTTACAACCTTTGGATGTAAGCTGCTTCAACAAAGAAAATGTCAATAAGCAGAGGTTGACCCCACCCTACTATGGTAACAGTATCCAACACGAATAATCACCGCCATAGTCAAAACCTTACTGTGGAAACTAACACCATAATTCCTTTCGAACAGAAACATAACAAATGCCTACTTAAAAGGAAGACATTCGAAAGTTGAATTTAACAGGCAGAGCCTTGAATTTGCACAATTCGTACTTACAGCCCTTTAAGGTTTGACAAGTTCTTGAACATGCCCCTGTTGAGAACGCTGTAGTTTCCACCTGAGAGATAGCTGAAATCAATTTAAGATAAATACATTCGCTTTAGCCCAACCTACAGTTCACTATTGCCCTGCCAATAAAGCTGACTTGGAACTCGAAACAGTCTGGCACTGCCCACGTTTCACAAATTACAATGCATATGATAAATTCAGAGGACACAATTAAAAGGTGGTTTCCCTGTGAACAAGGTCAATTAATATGAGCACAAGAAACAGAATACATTAACTGAAGCATACTTTTATTTAAATTAAAATCTCTATATTAGAGTTAAAATCAGAGTGTCAAGGTGCAACTGTGAAATAGTGCATATGGTCAGGTTCAGGCTATGACTTCAAATAATTTGTGTGTCCATGGAAAATGCATGATCCCTACAGCTTTTGGCTTCACCATGTGCACATTATATTTTCAGATATAGTATAAAAATGAAGGTATGAACTGAGTGGTACCTTTAGGCCCTACCTGAAGTCGTTTAATTAAAATCCTGTAGATGTATGCATGTACCAGTAAAAGTGACAATTTAAAGGTACACTTGACATAATGTTAGGGCGTCCAGCGCCCATAAACGTTTCCAGTGGCAAATGATCCTGTTCTACTCAAAGTGAGAGGTGAATTGCAGAAAATAGCATCCGACCGTTTTTCTATTCCCAATGCTTCTAACACTGTAATTTCACTTGAACTTTGACTGTCATTTGTTCCAGGTCTCTCATTCTGGGCGTGTGGTAAAAATGATTCAACCGATCTTCAACATATCATTATTATTGGGCAATATACGGCTTGGAGGCAAAATACGAAGATAATGGGCCTCCAGATGGACTGAGAGAGAGCTCGATGTTTTAGCAACAGAGGCCCTTTTGTGGAAAATGATCTGTGTCGGTAAGGAATATGAAATGTACGCGTTACAGTCGCGTTGGTACCAACAAAATGAACACCTCTTCTTATATAGCTCTCCGGAGTGGGAGCGTGCAGCCAAACCACCTCAGAAATCACGCGATCTGATTGTTCTACCAACTGCCATGCATCACCTGATCGAACTACCTTTGAGAGGGGTTTCAATTTTGGGATCGCCCTGGCAGTGACTGGAACAGGGGGGATCCATCATCATATGTTTGTGCACAAAACACTACTACATTATTAAATACATGGAATACCTACTCCCGTCTAAAATACTCCTTCCTTTTGGAAAATGTATCAGGCCATTGTGTGGGATAATTGCCAACGTGTCTGGAAACTTGTGGGTGGTGCCAGCATTGTAAACAGTGTGATTGACAGGGCCAAGCCTGGGTCTGGAGAAGCTTGCCACGTGGAAATATTTACACTGTCTAGGCCCAGCTGTAGTGCTAGAAAGGCCCTGGATGAGTGCGTCACGGTAATTCAAGCATGATTTTGTATAGTGGGAATTTCCCAAGTATTTTTAGTATCGCCGATGTATTTCAGTATTGTTGAATTCAGCGCCCACCACTCCAGACCACGCCCCAAAAAGACACTTCCTTCACAAAACATACCGAGAAATGCCTAGGAAGGCCTCCGTCTGATTTAATTTGGAAAAAAGGAAAACATTGAATAGGGATCGTTTAATTACCTAAAACTAAATCTGAGACAATTTGGCCACAAGGTGCTGAATAGTGTCAGATATTGATGTAGGTGCCTCCACGGAATCACCCCACTCCAGATCACGTCCCCCAAAAAGGACAATTCCCCCTCAAAACATACTGAGAAGTCTTCCTAGGAAGGCCTCCGTCTGATTTATTTTAAAAGAAATGGAAAAGGGCATTTAATCATGGGATCGTTTAACTACAACTAGATTTGAACCTCTTTATCAAAATGTGCTGCATTGTGTCAAAAATTGACGTAGGTGCATCCTCGGAGGGGTGTTTCTTTACGAAGCGGATACGTACAGGGTCTGTGTCCTTTGAACTATGTCTGCAATCGTGGTCTGACTCCAGCCATGCCTGCATTGTACGCTGTCAGTGACGACGTCGCAATCACAACCTTCCGGGCAACGCTTTCCTAAAATTTAAAACAAAATTAAAAGGTAAGAGACAAATGCTAGATTTAAAAAGCTGAAAAACAAAGAAGTAACATAGTAGGAAATAATTTTTCTTGTTTTCTCTCCTGTTTGTGTCTCTGTTTCCAATATTACCAAATCTCTGACCAGTGACTTTTTTCACGCAGTTAATAATCATATTTTTCCCAAGGTGCATCAAACTATTTGACTTTATTGTCCATTAACTTTGATCTGCCAAGGGCTGTTGACAACGCTCAGCTGGATACAAGGTTAGATTTTGTCTTGCCCCAGGACTGGTTTTACTGTTTTCGCCGGTGCACACCGTGCAGGGTGCATGCTCTGGAAAGCACAGCCGAATAGCACTACTAGTAGAGAGTACTACGTTCACAAGAGACGACCTGCCACAAAAAGTAGTCTTGACGAATCTGTCAAGCTTATCCGAAAAATTCTGAACATAGCTCCCGAGCTCAAGATAATGAATAACAATGCGCTAAGGCACTGCCGAAGAGAGTGCGCCTTTCAGACTGCAGTTTTTGGCGGTGTGCATGAGCGATAATTATTCATGGTAATTCGAACGTGTGAGGCGTGCTCGTAATTTTAGGGTCGGTATACGTGGCTTAATCCATTTCCCGTATAGAGCCGTGTTAAATTCCAACCAGGCCCGAATAGTTTGGACACAGGAATGTACCACATTCGGAGTTGGTCTCATCGTCAGCAGCTGGGCAATCGGGTTCCCCGTCACACACGTTGTGCCAGTGTATGCAACGATTTGAATTTGCACACTGGAAAAAGTCCGAGCATTGAATTTTATCTAAAGCAAAAGCAAACAGAAATGTAATCAAGCTTTTACTGTACAGTACGTACACCAATCATTTAATTCCATTCTTCAAAAATTACAGCATTGCATTCTGTACTCAAACCCTGCTAAACTAATGGTGGGGTTTTCATTTCATATATTGGAAACACTTCTGATATCGCACACCCCTAAATTTCAAAACTAAAAATTAATTTAAAAAAATAAGCTGCGTTTACTTATATCAGGTTCATTGCCCTCCCTTTTTCCAAACGCCACTAACGGCTACACAACCACAGCTTTTTTCGTTTTAAGTTGGAAATTAATGCCTATTTTTGCAGGCCTGCCCTACACCAAACTATACCACCAGACAGGACGCATCCACAACTGCAGAATCTTTCAACATCAAAAACAACTCCTTCTGTTCCAACGATGGTGAAAATTTTAAAATCCACCCTGAAAGCGGTCGCAACCCCTTTGCTTCCTGCTATTGAACCAACAATAGAGCCAACTTGAGTTGTCTATTTATATTAGCTTGTTTCCGGAGCATGAGCTAGTTCTAACAAAACGAACAAGGGCAGGGTCGCCTGTAACAGACACACTGAGTGCTCTGATAGTGGCTAGTGAACAATAAACGTTAAAAACAGGTGCTATAAATTGGCAGTTGCATTCAAATGAAAACAAACACAGAAAAAACCTCTCCTCACCACAGCCGATCTCATCTGACCCATCCACTTGGCAGTCCTGAAACCCGTCACATCTAGCATTTGGTGAAACGCACGACCCATCACCGCAGTCGAAGAGGTCCGAATCCGGGCAGGACGTTTCATCTGTTTGCCCAACCAGAAAACGAAAGACGTCCGTTTCAAGATAATAACCACTGATGAACGCCAAGTATACATTGACACAACCACTTGTCGTCTTTTCACTATATTTTCGACAATTTGATGTCCAACTGATACTTCAAGTTATTTCACGTCCAGATTGTGGCTGATCGACACGAGTATTGAGTATTTGTGTTGACTAAGAATCTTAACGAAGTTGGCTTCACATGGAAAGAGCGCATTTCCTAAATTACCTCTTGTAAGTAAAGATTGTAAAATTAATTCCAGTCAGTTTTTGGCACACAGGTCGATAGATATGGAAAAATATTCATGCATAAAAGTGGAGTTCATAGATTGGACTGACAATGTGACATGAGCCATGTGCACACTATAAAAAAACTGTTTTGATCGTTAACCGGCGCAGGTGTTTTTAGAAGTCGACAAGCCTCTTCCATCAATATTACTATGCGTATAATGTCATTCCCACCATCATCAAATAAATTGGCAACCCTCAAGAGTGTTGTAAGCAATGGGCTCTCTCGCAAAAGTGAAAAATGTCATTTAGGTTGCATTTATTCGTAAAATCCAATTGATATGTTCAACAATTAATCCAAAAATGGCTTGCAAAATAACCCTACCTGCTGTTTGATAGACTATGGACTAACATTTGATTTTGAGCGAAAAAGAGACCAGCTGGATTTCTACAATCAGGTTAGAATTCATTGCTGATGAAGTTGCTATATATATTTCAATTAAAACAAACCAGTTCGAAGACTAAATGTAATGATAGGGAGTTCGAAAATGTAACTGAATGTTAAATTTTAGGTAATTTGCTTCAAATTCATTTTACATATTTTGATTCGACAAGTAGGCTCTATTACACTGCAACGTGTGCACAAACTTGTCAAGCAACCGACATAGATTTCAGTTTCATTCTGTTATGCTTTGGTATAAATGTATACGGCGTACTGTTTGCTGAGAAGTTGGCAAGAATCTGCAGGCGAAAACCCTGAAATGACACGGTCTTGTCTGAGGCAAAATACACCAGGGCCCAGCTGCAGTTGAACACCATTGTGCGCACTTTGCTCGTTCCCCGGAGCTCGAACACCATCCCTTGGCCTCCGTGCAAGGTGCTGCCTCGGACTTCAACGACATCCTTGGACCGCTCGGTCTGGAAATCCAGTATAGTCACCAGGATGGACTTGGATTTGCTGGACGTGATGTTCCAGACGCAGTAGATACCCCATGGGTAGTTTGACGGATAGCCAGGGGACTCGAGAGGGACCGGATAGTGCCAGACATAAAGACTGCGTGGCCCACAAATATCTTGATAAAAACAACATGAGGAAATCATATGTATGTTTTCAATCTTTGTTAAAACTGCACCTTTTCTAAGTCCTTCACAAATCGTCAGAGGGCCTTGAATTCATAGTCTTGTCACAACGATCATAGGCAGTATTTTCCAAATGTTGCTTTCAAATTTACCCAAACTGAACAAACGAAATTAAAAAGACAGGACTGGATAAAAGCCACATTCCCCGTCAATATTGTTCTTGAAATTCCAGCTTTGGATCTGATTTTTACGAGATGAAAGCAATTAACAGCAATCGGAATCTTATGTAATATTTACGTGAAAGTCAATCAAAATCCAATATCAATACTGTGCCGTCAAAACATAACATGTATTTTTTCAATCTTAATAAAAAACTCATTTCATGGTGACATCCCGCTGATCGTATCTATATATGTGCTACTTATTTTGCGAAGAGTGATTAGCCACTTTTTATTGGATAGTTTTGCATTCGAATTTCTTGAGGTTTCAGGCCCGCAATAATGAATGCTCTTTTTGCAGGAATAGCCCAACTGGGTTTCTTAAGAATGAACACAGTAGAGGTTAGCAGAATATGACCCTCGTTCAATTGCTTTGCGAGTAACTACTGGAGCCCCTACCCTGATAACACATCAGGTGACCGTATTCGGACGTGTCGTTCTGCACACAAATGTGATCCTCTCTATCACACTTGAGATACTCATCTTCGCAGGAAACTGAAAGAAAGAATAATATTTAATATTGCCATCAACAGCCACTTGAATGTATAGCACTGATTTTTGTTATGCCTCATGGTTTGCTTTAGAGGCACTTTTAGTGGCAATTGCTAACTAGGCAAAGGTTTTAAGTGTCTGTTAGGTACCACAAAAGAGCCGCAACTCATAAATCTTTCCTCGGGACCTGTCCTGCTTGTAGGTGTTATTCTGGCACCTTTCACAGCTTACACCGTTCTTTATTATGGAAATCTGGGACTGGTGATCTTAGTCTGTAACAGACTGTACATCTAAAATCTCCGAAAGTGGACAAAATGTTCCAACCCATTTCCTTGTTGGTGGTTACTGTCTTCAATATCTGCTGACGTTGGGTACGTTAAAATGAATCTCTTTTCAAATGACCCGTATGCATCACGGCTCGAACAAGAATTCCGAACTTTTTTCTTTGTATTTTTAATATTTTATCCCCACTTTGATTACAGAAACTGACCATAAATTAACGGTCTTGTTGGTAATACACTTACATAAAAAACAGGGTTGCAAGCGTCTTCGATAATGCCTCGTACTACAAGGAATCTGCCCATGGCAATGTCTGTCGAAGCTACTGTATCGACAAGGCGGTATGGACCCGAGCGAAAACAAGAGAGAGCGCAATTTTTCTAGCAATGGAGGCTAGTTTGGTGTACACTTTTAGTCAACTCCTTTTGGTGCGCACTGCTTCACTGGTTCACAGTCGACAACAAGTGGAATACGTTTCGTATGCCTTGCTACCAACAAAACGAGCATTTCTCCACCATCATAGCTCTTATCAACCGATGAGGGGGTGCTTCTACTCTAGGTGTGTTGTTTCCAAGTTTCTGATATCCAGATCTGGTATGTCTACCATATCAACTGATTCTCTGCCTTAGTAATCGTTGTTGTCCGGCAATTATGTCAGAACAGGTAAATATGGAATAACTGAACAGACGGCGTAAAAGTCATATGTGTTTCATTCAGTGTTTTACATATATCCGTTTGCCAGACAGGCACCTTAAAAATATGAAGTGAGCATCTGTGATAGCTTTTAAAAGGTCAACGTCGTGAAAATGTGTGCACAGCGGCACCTATCACTAAAAATGATACAATAAAAAGAAGTTTAGATTTTGGGACATCGATAGTGATCTTCTAGTTTGAGGGCGACGCTTAAGGAAAAGCCTATTCAGCACATTTTGTGCAGGCAAGAAATGTTATATCACCAAGTCAACCATGAGTATTCTCCTGTCCCTCACCCCCTACTGTAAAAACAGCCCCTTACAGATCAGACCTGTGACATTATTTCGTATCAAGATGTGATGGACCTGACTAACAAAAGCAACTATTCAACAGCATAACTCGAGGGGTACTTTAGCTGGAGAGGGCTGTTCAAGTTACCTTCGTCAGCTGCCTTTTGTTGAACCCAAAGCCGAAATCCCTCATCTGTAATTATCTCGTCCGAGAAGAATTTTACAAACATTGTGTTTCCCCTTGAAGCAACGCTACGTGGAAAACGCTCCCTGAAACGTTAAAACCAAAGTACTTGAAACGTTTGATCTAAATCAGTGCTTATAAAGGCGTACAGCTGCGCAAGAAAAAAATCAGCCGCGACAGACTCATTAGGAATCCTGTGGGTAAATTGACTTTGCTAAATAACGCTCAAAACGCATTATATTTGACGCCCTGCCTCATCGATTTCCTGTTATTATGCCAAAGATAAAAAGTTGTTATTGTAGATTTCAGATTCTTACCCCGTTACTTTAATAAAGTAGTCAATGGACCCATTTCCATTTCCTATGTAGAGGTAGTCATAGCCTTCCTCCAAGGAGAATTCAAGGAATGTGAGCACTATACGATTCCCCACATCTGCTACCAGATTCCAAAGACATTGGGCCCTGTTTGGGTACCGGTAGTCCTCATTCCAGCCTGGTGAGGTGATTACTGCGATGCTGTTGCTAGACAGGTCACGGAAGGACTCATCGCATGGATCTTGTGTCGAGAAAAATGAAAGGTATGTGTTTCCTCGACTGTCACTGAAAACCTTTTGAAGGTATTCGAAGTAGGTTCTTCTTGGAATCAGTGATTGCTGTCAGAACCATTATTTTGCTGTATCTTACTTTAGGCTTTCCAGAATCCATACAAGATATTGTATTAAAGTCTTGGTTGGGCAAATATAACGTATCAGTAATGTATATTAGTAATCTCTTCATCTGTTTGGAGTCTACGCTTCAGTCTCTGGCTAGCTATTGGAGAAGTATAATTGTGGTATCCATACCTCCTCAAAAGTGTCAAACAACCTACCACAATCAAATTCGTCTGAAAGGTCCGTGCAGTCTTGCCACCCATTACACTTTTTGTTGGAAGCAATGCATTCTCCTGACAAACAGGAAAATTCAGTTGGAAGGCATTCTCCTACAACGGAGTCAGACGTGAATTCTCAAACAGATGAATAAAATCGATATAGATTACGGTATGCCAGCAGACAACGGCTTACAAAGACCCCTACTTTCTAGCTTGGGACCCGGATCTTTACCCCATCAAACCATCTTTTGTGCATTACTTGAAGTACAGTTGCGACAATTTCAAGCTCTTGGATCTGACTAAAACAAACAGCAAGATCCATAAGCAGAAACAAACGACAAAGTCTGCAACAACCTCAACCATCACAACTGAACACAACAAATTCTGAAAAAAGCAGGGGCGACCAAAATAAAGATCAAGGGCGTGCATTTGAAAAAGGCATATTTCATTGCAATTAAAACAGTCATGGTGCCACGTGTGGTAGTGTCATTTTTAGTATGGTCAATTGGTTACAGGAGAAAGCTTTCAGTTCAACATCAGCTCATGTTGTATTTACAACTCACCGCAGCCAAACTCATCAGAATATTCCGGGCAGTCTGCCATCCCATCGCAAACAGAAACCTGATCAATGCAGGCTAGGCCAGACAAACAAGCGAACTCCTTTTCTGAGCACTCTGTGGCAGAGGTGAATGAAACGATTTTTTTTTTGGAGTTATATTCATATATAATAGTGAATGGAGTTGAAAATGCGTAGGGTTGGGTATAGTTTTGCTCACACCTTGGCGGTAGCCAGGTTATTTGATGGATGAACTAGATGAAAGCGGATTGGCTACCACTCGGAAATGCCTGGGCACGGATTTACAACTGTCAGCCAACATTAAAATCAGAAAAGGTGTGGGGTCATGGAGACAATCAAGTCAGTCGACAAGTCAGTCGACTAGTCAGTCAAATGAAAGAGGCAAACAATGGCAAAGGAATGTCCTTTTCGCAGCTCATTTTAAAATAGCTTGTCAGATATGACTAAGGACTGAACGACGAATGCCTGACTTGTGGTGGCTTATGTTGACTTGTGATTCCATCTCTGAGATCTTTCGGGATTTTCCCTCCCACATACCAATGTTTAAGTTGATTATGTAGCAATTGTTAGGCCTTATTAAAGACTGCTAATGACTACTACTTTCTCTAACAAAATCTTGCGACAAAAGGCCAAACGTCGGAAAATGTTACTGCCAGTAGCCTTATCTTCTGTGTATACACATTAAGCAAATTGGCGATTACCTCCCTCCCAGACCTCTTTATGCCAGTCAACTCTCGCCCCCTTGGGCAAGTTTGAGCGACGACTATAGTTACCTATCGTTGAACTACCATCGCTTGAGCGATGGATTGGTTTTAACCATTTAGTCAACCATTTCGGGCCAGGCCCAGAGAAATGGTCAGGCCCCTTGTTATCAATAGGCGATTTCATTTATCAATTCAGAGAGCACCATTTACACAACAGTAATGGAAGGAGACTTCAATGACCATGTACGATGCGAGGCTCGCAACCAACGGTGAAATATGAGTAACGATGAGATTTAATTAAAAGAAAATTGGGTCAACTATGGTTGGTCGTGTGTAACTGAATTGCATTTGTGAACTATTAAAAAGCAATGGACTACTGGTCGAACTGTAGTTTTGTGCCCCATCTTGCCCATTGCTGGGCTAAACAGCGCCCTCTGTATTATCAAACTACTCAGCACACAGGTGTTGTCCACAGCCAAAGCGATCTTTCACATGGTAAAACAGTAACCTTAACAAAAGTGGTTGTGGACGCATCCCCCAGTCCGGGCCCAAGGCCTGTCCACCCCCCCCCTCCTTTAGAGTATGGAATAAATCTGGTGCTTGTGTATCTTGGTCATTGTTTTAATTGTAACTGAACCCATTGAAAGCCACCTTCCGGAAAATAAGCCTCCCCAAGTGGCCCCCGGTAAGAAATACCCTAGTTTACGCCACTGCTCAAAAACACCTCATTAACATGTGAATGTTTGGGTTTGGGGGGTACATATTTTCGGTTTCGGTTAACTTCATTTATACCCGTTACTTGTTTTTGCGGAGTAACGTTGGTATGAGCCTTTTGCCATTGTGTGTTTTCGTCAGGATTTATAGAGATACGGGATGAAAATTCCAAGTCACTATTGGCGGAAAAATGTCATGTACTTACTAACAGGAGCGTACTGCCGGGCGGATATGTTCAGGGTTTCAGTTTCAGTGTCCTTGTAGGGATCCTGATGGCATTCATTTGATATCCACATTTTGGACGCGTTGACCGACAATGATCTCGGAAACGCCGAAGCCTTGTTCATGCCCAGCGAGCCTGACAACATGTTGTCGACAGTTCTGACAGCGCGGTTCCCGACTTCGCCTTGGGATCCGCTATGGAGACGGGAACCCGCACCAAAGGTAATCTTGCAGTAAGCAGTATCCAGAATTCTGGCCTGTATCTGGTACCCAGTCTGGGCAACGATTATCCACAAGCACTGCGTGGTGACGTGGTGATGTTCAACAAAGTATGTTAGGCTGGGCTGCATGTGAATTGTCTCGTTACCACAAAATCCTAGACAGATGAGAGTTTATGTGGACTTTGCAAGTTATATTTCACATTTTATCGAGATCAGCTAGAAGATTTATTTTTATTTCAGTTTTGTTATGAGTCTGATTTATTAAATTTCGTGGGCGAAAGTACCTCCGATAACTGTTTATACCTGTAAACTGTAAGATTTTGAATGCCTTAACCAGAAGAAAGATGAACACATGCAAAAAATCTCCTTCATTTCCGCATAATCCTTTTGCAAATTTGTTTTTACACTCAAATAGACTATTTCATGCAATTTTTTTTCCAAAACCAGCATCATTTCAAAGTGTTAGCACAAAAGCTATCTGTAATACCTAAATATTTGGGAAAATATGTATCTTGGTAATGATTTATTTTAATTAACCATAACTCGCATTTCCAGACGAGTCCTTAAGAGATTGTTGAGTGATCGAGTTTGCGGTAGCACCATGTATAGGCATCTTCAAAAAAAGCTTCAAAGTTTAAGAATTTGTTCATCTTTAAAGCTCAGTACTGGTAATCAAAACTGAAACGAGCGCTCCGTTAATTTTTGTTTAGTATTGTTGAGTTGTAGCTCTTGCACTTAAAATCGAATAACCTGCGTTTAACCCAATCGCTTTTGTTTCCACCCTCACAGGCCTTTAATTGAACCTGCGTTAAAACACAAAGATGTGTGAGTTTAAATTAACTTGGAGTTCGAAAGTCTGAGAAATAAAAATAAAAGTTTTACCACACAGTAGTTCATCCGAATAGTCCTGGCAATCAGCTTTTCCGTCGCACAATTTATAACCCGAAACGCATTCACCTCTCCACGAACAGAGGAATTCCTTTGGGTCACAGTTGCCTGGAGGAGAAACATTCTTGCTTTGTTTAAGGATTTGTCGAACAAATGATGAATCATAGAGCCATTGTCTTGTCAATGGTTTTTTCGTTCGCACTGATGGTGTAATTAATCTTCTACAGTACAGTACCGTGAACAATCTGCAAAAGCTTCAGTAATGTTACTTTTCAACTAAGAAGTAATGGTTAATGGGACCAAACCCAGATTATCCCCTCAAAATGCAAACACGCGAATATTAACCCAATAGACTTTGACGCCAAAAGGAGCAGGAACAAAGGTCCCTTTAATGAAAGCCTGGTACTGTTTGCCGTTAACAAAAAGTGTCATTTTTACTGATTGGCAGTGTTTGTAGCGTGGAAAAAGACCTTACGTCGAAGACGTTATGGACACTTGTGTAACTAAACTTGTGTGTTATTCGTTTTTAACTGACCCATTCAGTTGCTCCTTTTGATCATTTCGTACCCTTGTATGTTATTAAATAAAAAGTAAAACGAACAGAGTCGAGAGGCTCGAATTTACCACATCCTAGCTCGTCTCCACTTGCAGAGCAGTCTCGTGTTCCATCGCACTTGTACGAGATGTCCTCCAAACAACCTCGTCCAGATGGACAAGTATACTGTTCGTCGTCACATTCTGCAAAAAATAAGAGGACAGAAAGAGCCGGTCTTGCTGTCTGAGTAACATACTTTTTTGTTCGCAACCTAGGAGCGGCGTTCCAAGAAAAGGACAATTAACAGGTTTCCTGGGTTGGGCTTGTAGCTTCAGTTTGACGGCTTGACATAGATGAAAAAAATAACTCTTTTTAAATATGCTGATGTTGTACATTATGAGACCTGAAAGTGACCAGTTGCAGTGCCAATTCAAAATCCTTGAAGACAGTTGGTATGTACAAATTTATATTTGCATTCAATTTTCTTTCATTTGCTTCTCCAGAAAATATCCAAAATGTCGCTTGAGACATTGTTTAAATGAATTGCTCAGCAAAAAGTGTAACGTAAAATTTGCCATAATTCAAGCCTCTCGGTGTTATCAGAAGACTTCACTCCGTCTGTTGTAGTCCCTCGACAATAGTCAAGATGTTAAATCAACACTTCGAGTTTTGCAGTGGAAATTAGGGAAGTTAGCAAGTTTCCTGGCGTGACATATTGTCCCAAAGATTACACTCCCGCTTCCAAAAGAAATTCATGACGAAGTGAGCAACTCGGTGGACTTGTAAAAAATGGGCATTTGGCAAATTATTACGTGACGATCTGAAGATAAAACAATAGGCCTAAAACATACGATTTGCAATTTCTTGAGATGAATACGCGTTCTATGTAAGTGTGTGTTGTTTAGGATTGTTTATTGGTCATTTTTGTCTTTAATTTTTTTATGTATTTTTAACTTTTACATCAGGAAGACGAGGTGGCATGGGTGCGATGAAGCAGGATGTCATACATTCCATCTCTTTCTTTTTTCAAAACCCCTCTCAAGGTAATTTTCGATGCTTTGCTCGGAAGAAAACGAAAATAACATTTGGACGAGTGTGTAGAAATCATATTTCAACAGCTACAAAACATGATATAAACATTCGACACAAAGAGCCCCTCCGCGGGCTCCTGATGCTGGCTACTGGTTCTGAGGTTCAAACGAGCAAGCTCATATTTCACATGTAATTCTCCTTACCTGTAGCGTAATACGCTGAAACGATGAACCTAATCTTCAGTCTCCTCCATGAGACACTTGGCTTCGACTCCTGTGAGGTTACCCAGATTTCAGTGCCACTGGAAAACACAGTGCGAGGCAAGGGCGCGATGCCAGTTTCACTATCGATTACCAACAGTCGACTTTCGGGGTCGAGACTGTCCCAGATTGTCAGTAGCAACCGGTGTCCTTCGGCTTCGACTACATCCACGTGAATCCGGACGCCCTCCGGCCCTGCAAGTCTCCAGACACACTCGGGGAACTGCCACGGCTCGCCGGTATGGTTAGCAACAACCCTTTCGAACGAGGTGCTATTGACAGGAATGGAAGGGGAAAAGCCCGGGTATATTGCAAAAAATGCGGTAGGTCTCTTCTCGAAATCAGCCAAGATGGTCACCGGCTCACCGTGTTGTATAGAAATGTTTGAAGAACCACAAAAGTCTGAAATATGAACATTTCAAAAGCTCTCAATGAAAACTGCATTGGAAGTATGTCAATGTCCATAAAGGAAAGATTAATCGTGAAACAACATTAATCGAATATATGGGACACGAGTCATCATTACCAGTGAAGGCAAAAGCTTTCATTCTCTGCTTTCATCATGCACCTGTTGAAGAAGATTACGCAACAGCTTTTGCTCAACATGAACAAGGCCCCCTGCTCTTAACCGTACACGAAGGTCTGTTTGAAATCCTAGGGTGTGGCACTTGTGTTGAGAATGTCCAACCAGAAGGCTGGCCACACTGCAATACGAGGCTTCGTTTTTCCTCAATCCGCCCCGCCTACCTTGCAACAGGTTTTAGGTCATTTTAAGGAATAAACAAATAAGTTGGTGTGTACTAAAGTTTATTCATAATCCAAAACAATTCCAGAAGATAACTGAGATGAGCAAGGCTCAATTACATGTTAAATGATCTTTTGTAATGAAAGAAGAAGTGTGTTAATTTGTTAATTTGACAAGTATGTACTCCAAAAAACATAATTTAACATGTAGTTTTATTTATTTAGAAATGTTTAATTATATACAAATAAAATAAAAACTGTTGATTCCATCATCAACATCAAGAGAGCAGCTTGGGATTTTATCTGTGACTCGGAAACCCATAAAGGTTTTTAACAGAAGAATTTGAAAGACATTGATTTATTTGTAGGGGTATTTCATCTTGCCATTAAACTTCCGGATTGGGTTGATTGGAAACAGGTAGGACAAGGGCATGAATATCAAAATTCGGTGGGACTTCAAAAATACACACCTTTTAACTCCTTCCTGGTAACACTTCATGAACATGTTGTGGTGTTAATAAATAATCCAAAGCTGAACATGCTGTGGTGTTTGTTATAAATACGTGTTGGCGTGTTAATAGATTTAGACACAATGACGTATCTTGGTGTAACAAGAAACAGAAACCCATTTCTCGAGCGGTGATACTTTACGAATACCAAAACACATTTATTTCCGAAAACGTGTTTATTTGTAAAATGCCATGTTTTCAAAGCAAAGACTTGTTTATAACGGGTATTTTTTAACTGTGTAACATCTCTTCATAGTGTGCTTATTTTTCCCAACTTAATTCCACGATTCGTCAGAACTCCACATTCTGAAGAGCAGTTTCATACATGATTGCTACTTTTGTAGTACGGGGTTACTTTGACCAATTTGAAGGCCCTGATCCTGGAATTTTCCCAAAATGCAGCTGGTGGCCTTAAATCTGTACCGTAAATTGGGGGATATGGGGACTGAGGAATTGTGGGGGGGAGGCAGTGACTAGCCCAGCCATGGAAATTTGAAAAGCAGGGGGGTAAAAATATATAAGGGCGATGTTCACACATGACACTTTATAGGGGCGGTATTAACCCCGATGTACATTTGTAATATGTGTTACCTTTCTGCAGAATCTTACATCCGAACGGCATATGGCTTTATGGTTGTTTTCCCTTTCTGATTATAATTTAATACACTTTAGTTGTGTTGAAGTCCAGGAAATTCTTCACTATCCGCCTTAAGTTTAGGCTATCCGCTGGTCAAAACATTGAGGGGAAAATATACCTTGATCCTCCCGGGATGTACGCCTAGGCTATATATGAATGCAACGCAGGGAAAAAAAATGTGTGTCTCCCGGTTACTTACCACAGCTCAATCTTTCGTCCGAAAAATCAGAGCAGTCGACCTTGCCGTTGCATACCACGTGTTGCGGCAGACACTTGAGGTCCAGCTCACACAACATCTGTCCCGCCCCACATTGAAACACACCTGTCGAAGTTGACACAACATGTTCCTCTTTGTTAGTAACATTGCTGATTTTTGCGTGTGTGTGTGTGAACGATTTATAAAGTGCCAAATTTCCACTCTTCAATTTTGTCAACGATGTTTAAGTACCAAATTGTGTCAGATTGAGTGAAACAACTGCGGTAATTTCCCAAACACCCCCAAAACACCAATTTGCAGCTCATTCATGTCCAATAACGCAAAGGCTTAAACTGAGGTACAATTACAGTTTTACAAAACCAATCAACAAAAATTCGGACCTTTATAGGATAAACGGCAGAGCCCGTTCGGAAAAAGGTAAATCCACCTGTTGTTAGGTATGTCATTTCTTGGTCCCGGTACCTCGACCAAGAAGTACTGCTATTTCAATCTTGCATACGAGTTACTTAAAAGGGCTGTTAAAACGTGACACGATTTCATATTTGCGGAAATTGTCGGAAAAGGTCAGCCGTCAATAAGGACCTGCTCTTTTGACGTCACAGCTTTTCTATTACTATTACTCAAAACGCGTCACGTGACAGTGTATTAACATTAGATAATGTCCGCTGAAAGGTGATTATGCCCGCTGCTTCAATCATGTGCTTGCACATGGATACAAGACAGGTTAATCGAGTTTGATTGGTCAGAAGATTTGTGCGCATATGACACACCATGCGCGCGCCATTTTCATTGAATTATAAAGGGGATTCTCTCAGACAACTTTAAAAAGGAAATATACCATAAAATGTGTTGGCTTCCTTTGTCTCTGTGAATAAAAAGGTATTTATGAATGGGAATAAATATGTGCTTGGCCGTTCTTAAACTAACGTTTGAGACCTTGTTCAGGAGAATGAACGATGATAATGTCCAATCCATTCTCCTGAGCCGGCCTTATAAGTTTGAGATCAGCCAAGTACATATTTATTCCCTTCGCTAAAAATCTCTTGCAGCTATCAGACTACTAGATAATAATACACGAAAATGAATTACTAAATACTAAATGGAAATACAGTCTTCCTTGAATTTCATGAGACAAATGTCCATGTCTTACCTGCTTCATCTGTGCCATTAATAGACCGCAGGAGAATCCTGAGGGTGGGCGGGCCGTCTTGTACGTCACGTGGGTGTGACCTGAGAACCATCCAGATGTGTGATCCGGGCACGTAATAAGAGGTTCCACGTGCGTGGCCCTCGCTGATGCTGTGAACCAGGGATGACCCGTTGTGAATGTCGAGCCCGGTTCCCAAAAGAACGGCCGAAAAACTTGTGAACTGATTAACCAAATTGAACCACAGGTGATAAAGCTTGTACATAAAGATATTAGAGGCACGAAGATCGACAGATTTTTTTTTTTTAGAAATTGCTTACCCGAATACGAAAGCGGTAAACACTCAGCTATTTTAACACATTCAGCTGCGTAACTAAGGTCAAGCATAGGGGGATGTTTCACCCTTGACCAAATACATTGATTGTCCCTGCCAGAAACACGGGGCCCCGAAGCACCCAAGGCAGAATAGACCAGAATTACGAAATCTTTGATACGCCATCGCACCACACGTCATCGACTAATTCCAAAATTAGAACGGAAAAAAAACAAACCCTAGATAGTTTCAACTTACCTCTGAGTTGGTTCTGTGAAAGTCTGTTTTGTTTCCACACCTACTACAAAGCAAAGTACTTTTAAAAGCTGTGAAAATGATATCCTTTGAATAATTTCACTTTTTAGATTCTCCAGAAAGTTTCCAGTTATTCTCTTACCGTTGTGTTAATGTCAAGAACGTCGAAGGTAATGAACTCGCCAAGAGAGTTGCTGCTAACCCGCCAAACACAGTACAAGAAACGATTGTTACGATTGGTGACGTTGACAAGGTATTCGCCAGTGAAGTTGATATTGGAAGGACCACACGCCAGTTCTTGTATATTATAGAAACAAGATTGAAATTAATACATAAAACAACACGAGTATTTCAAAAAAGTGCGCCACCAAGAGTTTCTGACGCGTTGGCCATTTGTCGACCCAATGCACGTTTGGAATGGGTCGAAAGATTTCGGGCGTTGTAACTGGCCAAACTATTCATGGCGCACTATTGCGAATCTTCCGTATTAATCCACTATTATACTTAATTTTTATGAAAATCTAAGGTCTAACGGTGATTATACTTTCTGATTTACAGATACATACAATAAACTTTCAGACTCTCGTTTGTTTTGCTTAATTTTATGCACTTCTTCAAAGTATAAAAATGTCTTTTGGTGATAAAGTGTACTTGAAAGTGCTTCTTTTTAAACATTAGAAACTATTCTAACCTTCCCGGACAAGTGTCGCTAGAAACACCGTGCAGTTTACAAAATTCCACGTTAAAATGTACAATCCCAAAGTTTTGTTTTAAATTAATTCTGAGAAAAGGATGTTCAGTCGCTTGTTGCCATACACACTACATATAAAACAAACTTAAATTCACTGAAGTAAAATATAAAAAATCCACCAGCTTTTTATGCAAATCAATAAAACGTTAAGGTTCAGTGCCAACGATGACTGCACAGTTTTGTAACTAATATGCTAAATTTGATTAGCATAGAAATAGAAAATACCGACAGAATTCAAATAAACATTAAACATTGGAAACAAAAGCTGGAAATAAATTTACCGGAAATAAAAAAGTACAAGTTCAAGAAATGAAATGAGAAAATTGTACTACATAGTCCCTTCCATATTTGATGAGCATGATTTAATTTTGTTTCTCCAATTTCGTCTTTATCAATGCGAAATTCAGTCAATTTTGAAGATGCACCACTAGATTTGATTTGTTTGCAGTCTGATTCACGTTTGCAAGACTCAGATTCCCTCTACATTTTGCTTCGCCATATTTACGTCTAGTGTCATTTGAATGAGTATTTTTTCGTAAGCCAATAAACAAAAAAAATCCAGAAGAACAGCCAAGCCAGTAAATGAACAAAGCAGGTCGTTCTCTCTATGAAATAGGGGTAAAAATAGTGACGTTTGATTGATAAGCAACGGTTAATATTGAAGGTAAGTAAAAAAAACAGGATTGTCTATCTTTTGGTCATTAAAAAAGAGAACAAGGGGGAGGATTCCTGTCAATTTTTTTACTTAAAGGCCATGCATAAAAACAGTAGATAAACAAGGCAAAATAATAAATGAGTCCCAGCCTGAACTGCATCACACAAGGCCTGAAGAGGCAGCAGCGAATTTGTCATAATGCAAGTTATTGATCACTGCTCTTCCTTGTCGACTTTGAGCTTGTAAAAAGAGTACAGATGCCCCTCTTAATTTTATTTGATGAAGCAGTTTGTTGACTTGGAACACTAAGATGCATTTCTCCTATTAGCCTTTGTAATTGCTGTCTTACATTTTACTTGAATTCATGGCACGGCTCCCTGGCATTTCTACCGCAATCAAAATGAAATACTTTATCAATAGGGCAAGTGCGAAATTAAATTCTACGTTAACGATGAAGTGTCTTTCAATCATTATGTCTATGGCTTTCCGCTATTTTTCCCAGAACTAGCACTCTCATCTCTATGAAGACTTGTAAAGCAGCAAAAAGTGTAGTTAAAGGACTGCAGCAAAACAAACTGCTTCTTCCAATTTGTTTTTAAATAAGAAGCAGTCAGGGAAGCAACCAGTCTTTACTGTCACTTGTCTATACAGTCGTTAGTCGATTCCCCTTGTCAGCAGTTTGACTAGCGTAGGACACTCGGCAAGCCGTAGCACAAACTGTGGAGGAACAAGTATCATGTAAACGTACGCGTATGAAACACTTCCCCAGCCCATTGAAAGAAACCTTACCGTTGGTATCAGGCACTGATCGGATCTCGCAAGGCGGAGTGGGCTTAAATGTCATCACCATCAGCTCAACCAGCAAGGCGTTTCTGGATGAGAATGTGTCACTCGGAGTCGACGGAGGACACCACGAACGCTCGTCGAATTCCGGCGTAAAGAGGCTTAGCCTGAATTCACCAAAGCACATGTCGTACTGACAAAGCATCCTCAGTTGGAGATGGTCGAGAGTCGTTACGTTCCAGCAGTAGTGCTCGTGGGAAAAATGAGAAGGTGGGGTGTTGGCTTCCCACTTGTCGCTTGAGATCGTCAGCGTCTGGTTAGCGCCTGACAGGAACACATCGTGACAAGCCAATTCTTACAGGAAAAAAATCAAAAAGAAAAGAACTTTTCATAATAACAGGCTTCCAGCTATTTCGGTTGAATAAAAAACCTTTAACTTTTCTTTCAGTTGTGTTGTAGTTTGAAGGGAGAGTAGACTTGGAAGTTTGAAATCGGGATCGACATTGACTATAAGATCTTCAAATAGATAAATCTAACCTCTGACAAATGTTCACCAATGCACAATTTTTAGAACATACACATTCATATGTTTCCAATTTTTTTTCAATATTTTGGCCGGGGCAAGGGTTTAAGGCGGAATACAGAAAGCAGACCGTGGAGCACCTGTAAAAGATCACTTACCTGTGTTAGTTACAAATTGTACAGAATTTAGGCAAAAACCCACCATGTTAAGTGAATGTGAGAAATGGAAATAAACTTTTTTGCGAGTTATATTTGAGTTCTTTAAATTCACGTAAACATTAATACTTGAATTCCCCAAACTGAAGACGCTGTTGCTAATCCTCCTGCTTTTGGGCAAGCTTTTGCTTTGTTACATAAGAGACGCTTTGCACTTTTTAACAGATAAGAAGGACATAAAGGAAGCAATCAATTCCAGAGAAAGCTTGTCCCGAATCACGACTATTTCATGTGCAGTCAGGTCACTCAGTGTACCATAGTATTAATCACATTCAACTTGTAAAATGTTAATTGCTAATCTTGTTTCTTGATGACCTACTCAACCATTTAGCACGGAGGGAACATGATGATTCTTGTGCAGAGGAAAAACCAAACTATTTTGACAGTATTATTCAGGGGACAAATCATCTTGCCCCACCGCCCACACACAAAACAAGAAGACATCCCTGCCTCCTTTATTGAGTGATATGATCTTGCTCTGAGATGACCACTTGAAACAGTAGTAATCCATCATCCAACACGATATGGACGGGATAAACACTCCGAAGCGGCGATATGGACCCAACAATGGGCAGCAATTAATAAAGGTCTGAAAATAATTATACAGCACAGGTAGCAATTTGTCAGGTAAGACGATACGAGATATCCTCTCTAATCAACGATTCTATGAAGAAGTCGATTCTCTGTTAACACTAAGGACATGTGGTTGGGGTGTGGGGACAATTGTTGCTTCTGTGCTCTTTCCGGGCAAAGGAAAATCTTATAAAAATAAGACATGACAGGCGACAGGCTTTTCCTGGGACAGCCTATTTTGCCACTCTTCGGGTCACACACAGGTGTATACAGACTGTCACAAGGGGTGATTCTTTGCACTAGGCATAATCTGAGGAAAGCAGTTGATGCGAAATATCGGCAATTGCAGTGCTCCCTCGAGTGAGCCTGTTGTCTCCAAATTGAATCCAACAAATTCAGCCACCGCAACTTGTGTTAAGAGTGACCTTGCCGGTGGTTTACTAAAATTATAGAGTAACTATTTATCTCTATTCCCGCACGTTATATTTCTTCAGAGTACCTCTATATTTATTTGTTTAACAAAAGTCTTTAAGGAATGCTGTGCTGGACCAGCTGCATCTGGTCGTTCTTTTGTATCTGTTTGGTCGTCATCCAAACTAGGGTGAATAATATACGAGGGTAAATAATGTACCAGCCACAGAAAGATGAATTGTTATCATTTTCATTTAGATATTTAAATACTTCAACCGCGGTTTAGAATGGGATTAAACATACTTGACTTGGCTACGGTGATGCAATGTCCCTGGATCAGGAGAGCAGCGAAGATTACATCCAACTGTTTCATGCGTCTTCCTCTGTTCGCCATTCTGGAAAAAAAGAAAACACAAATCCTTATTACAGTTCAGCTGTCAGCTTGCGAAAAGGTTGTCGGCATCAAACAGAAGCAATAATCGGCAAAACATGAACCACAGCAAAGAAGAAGTTGTCTGTAAACTATCAACATTTGCATCCTTCGGTCAAAAATATCATGGTACCTATCGGCAGTAGCCCATTATATTTATTGAATTCATCCAATTCATAAAGAACATGATTTTCTATTGTTGACACGATATCGCTGGTCTGGGTGAAAACCAATACGTTGTTCGTTCTGAAACGACTCGTTTGACGATCAGCATATCATCTTCCACCTCGCCAACACGATGTATGAAATACTGCCCCTTAAAGGCTGTTTGATACTTTCGCACAAAAACGCTAACGAACGCAGATCTTAGCGTTGCAAATCCGAAAACGTTTCACACATTTCAACTCTGGCGAAATTTCGCTGCAAATTGTTCAGGGCGTCAAATTTGTTTCGCTATGCATTCGCCTGAAGTATGAACCGGCTTTAAAGCAGCTTGTAAATCTAGTTGCCATGACAAGTACTTCCCTCCTTTAATGTGCCCTGCGATGGCAAATGTGGTCTTACCTTTGGGACTTCATAAATGGAACGTCACAGGTGTTCCATTTTGTCTTGAATCGACGTTCAAGGCAAGCGACGTGGTTCTGCTGTGAATTTTTCTCTTCAGTCACTCCTTGTCCGACGGTAGTGTGTTTTTAGCGCTGCAAACGCACCACACCACTTATACACATCACCGAGTGAGGATCTTTGCGTTGTCTTTCTTTTCTGCTCCCTGATTGGCTAGGATCATCTTCATCGTTGTGACTGATTTGGCTTTACCATCGTGATTGCCCGTTACAATCTTTAGGTCTCATTTGCTGTTTACCCTGGTCATTTATCTGGTCCGCCGAATTCCGATTTTTCTCAATTTATTCATTCGTTAAAGGCAGACGCTGGCATTTGATCTTTTGATTTCAGGGTACCGTATAATTCCAATTAAAGTCTCTGATACAAAATGGAGTGCTGTAATTTGTATTAATCAGTGAGAGTTTGTTTCAAAATAAACTAAATCAGCCTCCATTCGGTAGTAAAGGTTATTTCATTTGTTTTGGTTTTTTTATAGTTTGCATACATTTACATGCCACCCATAATTTAAAAACAAAACTGTCTCCAGGCGCACAAAAACCTTGTAAGCAGGATATTTTTTTTTCTCGTCCAAGTGTGTCTTTCCTCAAGTGGAGAAAAAAAACGGATATTAAAATTGGCATTTCTGACCCAAAACAGGCGTCAGTACTTTTATTTGTAACCGGGGCTTGATGAATATATATACTTAACTTAATCACGTTTCATTCAATGATATCGGTTTGTTTATATTTTGTATTTCACACTACAAAACTGATGTAGAACCTTGTAATTATGTCAATGCCCGGAGAAAAAAAACTACTCATGGCACTAAACATGGATTACACAATTAGTTAATGATAGGCCTATGCAACTCCAAAACCACTTTACACCTTTCAATCACTAAATGCTCTACATCCACCACAGCAAATAGTCTCATGATTCGTGCCTCTATTCAGGTTATACAGCCCTTTAGTGGTATTCAAGTATAAGTCAATGAATAGTAAACAACGTAATTCCACTGGCTTGGAATAGCTTAATTGGTTGGGAGCTATGCGTAACCACCGTTATTTGAATGGCGGAAGTGTATTTCCAAGTAAGAAGCCTTTACTTTAGACGTGGACTGTGCGGGCGTTGGCTGTTTGATAATGCACAGGTAAGAAAGTTTGCTCCCACATTCTTTACCCTTGGTATCTTGGTCATGTACCCTCATTGGACTTATATCATCGTGACTGTTGATCACCATAAACATATTGGTTGCTTTTCTTCTCAAGGATGGTGAGATACTGATTCATGTCGGTAGTGGTTTCTTGATCATATTTGTGGGATTCTTTTACAGTAGATCGCTGTTACGACACATGCTACGTTGCATAATGAAGTCTGCACGTAATGACATGGATGACATGTCTCGTGTATGCACATAGCGTTGTATGTGTGCTTTGCATTGGTGGGGAATGGCGAATTACTGTTGTTTTCCATGATTAGGCCTACTTAATTAAATTGGGAGTAGCCTTTCTATAGTTTTCATAGAGTGTGCACTTTCATGCAATTACACAAGCTGCAGTTCCACAATACTCATAATTATACTCATGGGGATGGTCTTAGTCATGTCGCTTTTGTACTTGCGTGTATTATGTTTTTGCCAAAAGCTGAAGAACCTTTTGAGACCTTGGCTGGTTAGGCAAAGCAGCCCAGCTTTATTATTTTAGTCATTTGTATCGCTGTCTAAGCTATCTATGGTCAATCACCCTGGTGGGGTAATTACCACACCAGGGTGATTTATCGAAGTGTATATTATATATAACGGGTTTACCCTTACCCAACGTATATTTATAAGCACTGTATGCTCAGTGCTTGTCCGAGAGC